CCGTGCATCTTTATGATGGTCGGGAAGGACAGCGGCGAGGTGAAGGGAGTGATCCTTACCCACGTCGACGACCTGTTGCTCCTTTGCGAGAAGCGACTGATGAAGCCGCTGCAGCAAGCCCTGAGCTCTCGCTTTCCTGTGGAGGACTGGCAGGACAACTCCTTTGAGTACCTGGGGTGCCACTACGACTTCGGCGACAACGAGGTCGTGATTTCCCAGGAGAAATACGCTGAGGCACGGGTGGAACCAGTGCACTTGATCCAAGGACAACCTGACGAAGAAGACGCCACCCTGGAGCAGCGCGAGGAGAACCGCACGGCGATTGGTAGCCTTTCCTGGTTGGCTAAGCAGACTCGCCCAGACCTCCAGTTCGGGGTCTCGCAGTGCCAAAGGGCACAAAACAATCCCAAAGTGGCGGACCTCAAGGAGACGAACCGTCTTGTCCGGGAAGCCAAGAAGTACAAGGAGAAGGGCCTCACCCTGCGCTACATTGTCGAGCCCGCGCTCTACGGCTTCCACGACGCGGCCTGGGGCAACGTGGAGGACCCCAGTCGCGAGGCCGATGACCAAGACTGGTTGGGTGACCACAAGCTGGCGTCTCAACTAGCACATGTGGTCTTGGCCGCAGGGAAGGGCGCAGCACATGGCGAGCAATCCGACTTCAGCGTCTTGGAATGGGAGTCAGAAGCGAGCTCCCGGGTGTGCCGCTCTACCTTTGCAGGAGAGACCATGTCGTGCTGCGAGGCTATGGAAAACCATGGAAAACCTGCTGTTCCTACGGTCGCTCTTGGCGTCGTTGAAGGGTGGCCCAAGGGCAGATCGCAGAGCGGTGGAGGCCGGCATCGACATCCACCTCTTCACGGACTGCAAGAGCCTCTACGACCACCTCCACAGGGAGGGCACGCCGAAGGCCCCAGCGGACAAGCGCCTAGCGGTGGACTTGGCCGATCTTCGCCAGACGCTCATGAAGCAGGGGACGGCCCAGTGGAAGAAGCACCACGGGGAAGATGCTCGACACGCTCCGGAGCGCCCCTGTCGACCACCGATCCACTGGGTGCCCACCGAGGAGCAGCTTGCCGATTTCCTTACGAAGAAGATGAAAGCAGAGGCCTGGTGGCAGACCCTCGAGCGCGGGCACATACGGCTCCCCCTGAAAGACCGGCGAAACAGCAACACTTGAGAAGTGGAGCAGGGCCCGTCTAGAAGAGTTTTTGTAATTTTGGAGGCATGTAAGTGCACAGCATCTTTTCTGTACATGTGCGTTGCGGTGTGCGAGCATCCTCCTGAGCCTGTGATCTCTCCGCGACATGAAGGCACAAGGATCTGTGAGTCAGCGGAAAAGGCGTGACTGCGTCACTGCCGCATGTGTTCGCAGAGTAGCAACTTCTGCACATGGGTTTAATGGTTCGAAGGCAATGGCATGAGACTTCCGGCATGGCGGCATGCAGTCCAGCCGTCACAGTCCACTCTTACAAACGAGCTCAAAATACATGCAGCTGGATGAACAGAGATTTCTAGGGTTTTTTCAATCAAGTGTGCAGCCTCAAATAGCAGGGAATCGTGGAGCATTCCTTAAAACTTTGTGAGTTGAAATCTCAGAAGCTGTATCAAGTGGCTTGCCAGCGACTAGACGCCAACGCAGACCACATGCGGTTGAATAATTGAAACTGCTACCTGATCCTGCGACGACGACGAGAAATGAGGTGAATTTGGCAAGGGCTTGCTTATGTGTTGGTTTCGGCAAGAAACGTCAAAAAGGGTCCTGGAGATCACAGTTTCTCGGATCCTCTCGGAGATGCAGGCAGCAAGGAACAGAGAGGGCATGAAACCTCCAGTTGATTCGACTTGCAGGGGCTGTAGGAAGTCGTTGCGCATTTTACAGGATCGGCTCATAGGCAAAGTAATTAGGGTTCATAGAACCGACCAGCGCATAGGTTATGGATGGGATACGAGCAAGATGATGTCGTGGTGGTTGTGCGGATTCAATCCAAGGCGTGCAGGGCCTTTTGCAAAAGGCCTATAGGTCTGATTGAACTTAAGACTATATGATGTGCACATGTTCTACGCGCCGCCAGCTTTGGATTAATAGGGAGACGTGTGCAGACCCATGAATCAGGATCGGAACGGTTTCGATAGAGTCATTTGGGGCACTTTGCACATGTCGTGATTTGGACGCGCGGTGGCTGTGTGGGAACTGCATCATCAGCAGTGTAATGGGGGCACCAAGCCGGATGACGGTAAGGATTGCCATCGCCGAGACAAGAGAGCTGTAGGGTACGACTAGGCTTGAATAGGGGTTTTGTATGGCCTTCTGTAGGCAATGCGTACTCAGACAGTACGCGGCCTACCTGTTTTACTTTTGGAGAGCGTACTGGTGTTTTTTCTACCCTCAACCTAAGCTCCCATGGCAAAAACTGCATGATGATTCGGAGTACTTTCACGCAAAATTTGACCGGTTTGTGAAGAACTGTATGTATGTAAAACACATTGGAGTTTGGTCCGGAAAGAGCGTCGTTTTGGGGTGTTTTTGCGTGCACAGATAGAAAGAGAGAGATATACATATATATATATATACACACACACACACTCACACACACGCACAGACACATCAGCAGACGAATAGATGGACAGATGCAAAGAGAAGGACAGAGAACACGCAGACGACGGCTCAACAAAAGGAGCGTGCTGCCTGTTCTGAATTCTATAGCTTCGCAAACGAAAGCCGATTGTCCAGATAGCTTGCACACAGCGGAATCGCGGTCTCGTTACGTTCATGTAAAGGGGCCGCACTTGCCTTCCCACGGCTTGTGCGACTTTAGGTTAAATTCCTGCTTCAACGTATGTTCACCTCGTCGGGGATGTTATAGAACCCTTGACCCCCGACCTCGACAGCTTCGATGCCCACATCCCTTCACGTATCGTCGAAGCCCAGGTTGAACTTCATGTGGTTTCGTGGGCCGAACGCATCTTGGGAGCATTCAACCAGCGGTGTATAGAACCTGCTTTTGTTGCTCTCATGGTTGAACTTGTTATGATGGTAGCCATGGCAGAATTTATTAGTATGCAGCTGCGTTCTTCGACTGCTCTGTATAATGGTGTCGGCAGGGGCTTTGGCAAACAAACGGCGGGTGACAGCGCGAAGGATACTAAGACGGTGCCACAGCACGTGTAGAAGGGCCGACCTAGATGCCACCCGACCGTAAGGGCAACTTAAGACGCCAGCACTTACTTAGCGTAGGTTGCAACTGGCCTGCCCAGTGAAATCACTGGCAGGACAGAGCGATGTGCGAAGTAGCTGACATGAAGTTGGTGTATCCACAGTTGCTCCTCTTGCCACATGCCCGGGGCTGGTGAAGACTTGTTGCAGAGCGGGTCCCAACACTGTTGGCAAACTTGCCACGAAGCTTATACTCGTAGCTTTCCATGCTTTCACTGTTTCAACCACCTCATTGCTATTCGTATTATCGCGCACTATTGCAGCCCCAAAGCAGTTGCGAGGTGAGGTCATCGAGCGTGCCCTTTCTCTTTTGGGCCTGCTGACGCACTTCAAGAGCATTGCGGGTGTACAGCAATTAGGTTCGCCGGGCACATGTTGTGTTTCGGGTTCAAGCGACTGGACCCTGCCTCCAGGCGAGCACAGTGGCAAAGCAGCTTTCATCCAGAACCTCGTCTCGGAGAAAAGCTTAAAGCGACACCAGGCGACTGAACAGCTTGAAAGTCCTGACCTGAAGTACCACAGGCAGCACGAGCCGCTGGTTATCAATGAGTATTCTAGGGCGGACTATGCGTGATCCCCTCTCTTATGGAGGTCTTGTTCATTGACGACCAGCAGAAAAACGTGGACGCTGTTGCAGAGGTGTGCCTGACGCACAAGACCAGGCGGAACACTGTGTTAGACCATGTTTGCATGGGTGCCTGCACCTGGTTCGCTCCAGGGGCCGTGGGTTGACCACAACGGAGATGGACAGCATCGTGCAGCAGGTGATTGCATGTGCATGAGTACGTCCACAAGCTTGCCTGCAATGCATCTTCAGCGACACAAGAGGGCCAACGCCGCGGCATGCGAGACATGGCCCTGCTCACCAGGCCACAGCTACTACAAACGACGTGGACCGGCAGCAAAATGGCTGTCTCACTGCACGCCAGCTGAATAGGGTCTGGACACGAGTGAATCCGCTCTTCCAGCTCGCTATACTGTCGCCAGCCTGTGACAGCAGCCCTTTCCGGCAGATGCCCAAAGTGGGGAAGCTTCATGAGCAGGGCATGCTAAGACAACAGCGTCGTGCATGTGGAAGACAGCTAGACTCATTGCCCTCAGCTGACCTTTTGTGCTACATCACCACGTTACTAAGTTACTACTGCATGCCGCCAAAGTCTGGACAATTGGATGCTGGCCACTCCTCAAAATGAAGTCATGGCCATGGCGGACCAGGAGGCGCTAATTGACCCTCCTAGAGAAGTCTCCTCAAAGGGACAGCCCGGCACTCCTGCAGATTGCTTCGGCTTTCGGAGATGCTGGAACTTCAGTCTGCGCGATTTAATTGCAGGGTCTGATGACTTACTTTTTGCCCAAAAAGTTGTCATTTGCTTGTGTCATGATTGTCATGTGGGCCCTCTTTGCTCGGGTCTCCTCGTCCTCTTCGACTACGCCGCCCGCAACGACGACCACTACCACTCAGTATTGCTTCTGCTACTCAGGATTCTGACTATCATCAGCAACTAGTTACCTCGCATCAAGTCACGAGTTGCACTGCTTCTGTGCCGCTGTGTTGGACGGCTTGTGCTGTACCACCGCCGGTCAGCATTCAAGGATCACACTGGAAAGTTCGGACCGTAGTCAACCAGGAAGCTGGCTGTCGAGTGATTTAGACTGTCCGGAGTCCTCAACCCTATGTGCGAGACTGCGCCAGGCAACTCTAGCGCAATGTCAGCCGTCCTCTCACTGCTGTTATGTGGTCCCGTACCCGGTGCCTCCAAGCGTCTCACCTTTCAGCCTTTCAGCGTCAGTAAGGCTGCAAAGAGGGAGACATGTGCAAATCTGCGGGGCCCCCAGGAAAGCAAAGCTAGAACATTGGATGCAACATGGGTGCAACATTCTGCATGTTTTGCTCTGCTTGAGGATTTCAAGTCTGGCGATGCGCCTGACAGGATTCAGATTCAGATTGCTTCTGCGTCGGTCGCTCAGCATGTCGTGCGGATAGTCTGTCGAATGTACGATCGCACCCTTCCGTGGCTGGCACGCAAGGAGCAAGTCAACCCGTTCCGCAAGCACAGTGCATTCGGACCGTGCCGCCTCAACTGGCTTGTTTTTCTATTCGCCTTAGATGCGGAACTTCTCTGAGTGTGTGCATCCGCAAATTGCTGCATGGAGTTGTACCTGCGATGTGTCGTTAGCGCCGGCTTCGGAGGTACCACGTCCGGCACATCTCAGGCGCCTGAACAGTAGAATCTGTTCTTTGCCCTTCGGCGGCGATCTTCCCAACTGTTCAACATAATCATAGCTCAGCTCAAGCGAACTGGTTTGCAGGTCGCTGATCTTGACGAGATCGAGCAACGAGTGCTGATGTCTCGGCATGATGCTTTCCTTCTTTTGAAATTGTAGCTGGATCCGCACAGACCGCCTAGTTTCTTAGGTCACATCTCGTCCAAAATCTATGTGAGGAGGAGGCAGCAGCTCTGGACGGCTGCTCAGACATTCGATCTCGCTCTTCTGAAACTGGCCGGAGGGGGGGGGGCATAGATGAACGTGCATCGTTGCATCGTGATAGTGAAAGCCGAATGCTGTGTAATCCAAGAGTGCGAAATCCTGTAATCCAAGGTCGTGTGCCATGTCAAGGGCAACATGTACAAGATTAATGGACGCAGGGTGAGGCCGTGACAAGCATGCTACGTGTAGGGATTGTTGTGAGCTTCTCGGTACCCCCCTCCTTCTTGAGTCCTGTTTGATAGCAGCTGCAGAGGTTGTCGATATCACGCAGAGCGGTGGTGATGGTACAGGAGGAGCTTCGGCGGCATGCGGAGAGTGGTGAAATATGTATAAGGATGTGTGAAGCGGTTTCGAAGATTGGCATCGCACAGACTGCACAGGGATAAATGCTGACCAACAGCCTAGAATCGAACCTAGAAGTAGCAACATATCCAATGTATGTAAGGAGCAGAAGATGCCGTTTGCTGCCTTTGTTCTGCCCAATTCGTTCTAGCGACCCTGGTCGCTCTCGGAAGTGTCTCCAAGCATCCGAGCATGCAGCCGAGGACTTTGATGCGAAGCTTCCACTTGTACCTCTTGAGACCTATCTCCAGCAGGCTCCGGCGCCTCTTTCGGAGCTTTCTCCAGTGATGGAGCCTTGGCCTGTAGCAGTCTCCAGCCACCTTGCCGGCTCAACACAGCACACATCTACCGGCTTAGTACACACCGACGCGCCGTCCCGCAATCTTCGCACAGTCAGCCTGTACATGAAGACGCCTGCAGCACAGCCCTCTAGTCAGTAGTCCCCGTTAGGACACTTAGACCAAGACCGAGTTTTTGCATTGGCCCCCCCAGCTGAGCCGAGCTTCACCGAAAAAGTGCTGTCAGAAGCCGCATCTCTGCCTCTTGGCCTTGGCCCTTGAGCCCTGAGCAGCCCACCAGCAGCCCAAGAGTTCCCTGAAGCTTATGTCACTTATGTGCTAAGTGCTTCGTGGGGTCGAAGCCGATTGGGCACAATCCTTGCAGCTCAGCTGAAGAGGCCGAGAACCTGCTTTCGTTGAGGGATGTTGACAGGGAAATGAGTTGCCTCGATTCTCATGAATTCGGAGCGGACGGTCGGAAGAAGGCAGAGCGTGGCATGCGTTGATGCCGTAGCCCACCGTGCAGCAGGGTCGCACTAAACACGTTTAGGTTTAAACGGTTTAAACTTAAACGCGTTTAAACATGTTTAGCCGGTGGGTCGATGTTTGTTTATTTGTTTAAACATTGTCGTCGCATTGAGATGTTTAAACCATGGTTTAAACATGCGCAGGACGGCGTTTAAACATGTTTAAACACACTTGTGCTATCTCGCGGAGTGTCACACGTCCCAATGCGGCGTTTAAAAGCATGTTTAGCATGACACATATCCCGAATGTGTTTAAACCCATGTTTGAACACGTGTTTAAACGGTTTCCTGAGTGTCGCACATGCCGAAGGTGTTTAAAGCCGTGTTTAAACACGTGTTTAAACAGTTCCCTGAGTCTCGCACATGCCGAATCTGTTTAGACGCATGTTTAAACAGTACCCGACAGTTCCCTGAGTGTCGCACATGCCGAATCCGTTTAAACGCATGTTTAAACACATGTTTGAACAGTTCCCGGCAGTTCCCTGAGTGTCGCACATGCCGAATCTGTTTAAGCCCGTGTTTAAACACGTGTTTAAACATTTCCCTGTGTGTCGCACATGCCGAATCTGTTTTAACCAGTGCTTAACCACGTCCCTGAGTGTCGCACATGCCGACTCTGTTTAAACGCATGTTTAAGCACGTGTTTAAACAGGTCCCTGAGCGTCGCACATTCCGAATCTGTTTAAACGCATGTTTAAACACGTGTTTAAACAGTTCCCTGAGTGTCGCACATGCCGAATCTGTTTAAACGCATGTTTAAACACGTGTTTAAACAGTCCCCGGAGTGTCGCACATGCCAAATCTACTTAAACGCATGTTTAAACACGTGTTTCAACAGTTCCCTGAGTGTCGCACATGCCAAATCTACTTAAACGCATGTTTAAACACATGTTGAAACAGTTGCCTGAGTGTCGCACATGCCGAATCTGTTTAAGCCCGTGTTTAAACAGTTCCCTGAGTGTCCCAAAGGGCCAAGGGGTGTTAGCGGGTGGGCTTTGAGGTTTGGGCCTTCAGTTTCAAGGCCGGTGGGCCTGCATCTAACTTCGCCCTAGCCCCGAAGGTGTAAACATTCAGCCTCGTGTTTGGTTCAACCTCGTTTAAACCTGTTTGAACATGGCTGGTCAGAGGAATGCGTTTAAGCACGTATATTTAAACATTTCGCTTCATGTTTAGTTTAATTGGTTTACACATGTTTAAACGGTTTAAACATGACTCGTCAGAGGGTCCTCCGGGTTTAAACATAAAGCGTTTAAACATCGGTGCGTTTAAACAGTTTAAACAAAACCCCTCCCCAACCCTGCCATGCAGCGTCTTCACGAAACTCAGACTGAGTTGCTGAACTGAAGCGAAGGGCAAAGGAGCCCAAGACGAGGCATCCGTAGGTTCTGAGAAAAGGCGCCTGGGGCCTGGAGGTAGTGCGTAGCTTCTGTCAAAGATGCGGGAGGCTGATGGCGGGCCACGACCGACGATGTCGCTTTGTCCGCCTCGCGAGCTACAACCAGGCGCCATTCAAAGGGATGCCTGTGTTTGTGGGAACTCGGGCCCAGGTCAACCCTCAGTAGCAAACACAGACCTCACCGTTCTTCGATATTTGATTTGTTGCATTGCAGCCCTTTTGGATTTGCGGTCGTTGGCTCCAAGTGCTACGCCGTCGGGCAATAGCGGGTCAGCGATGCCACTCTTTCGCTCCTGTAGGTTGGCTTGTTGTTTGACTGTTCGACGACCAAGGGACCCAATCTTATCAGGACCAGCACAGTAGCAGAGCCCGAGATCTTGGCACAGACCTGGTCAACCAAGTTGTGTTTTCTTTTTTTATAATACACATGTGTTCGAGTTGCGGATGCTGGTTCACACCCAGCCTCATAATTTGAAATACTCCTTCTCCCTGTCATTGCTGCTGCCACAATCACCTCCCCTGGCGACCCTACCCCTGTAAACAGGACTTCAGCACTCAATGTAACGTACACACACATATACACAAATAATCCCTCCCCCTAAATTAACGCGCCCCCCCGCTCCAAAAAAAAAAAACAATTTTGATTTCCGGGATTAGGGGAGAGCCGTTCCGGCTGTAGACCAGACAGTCAGCCTGCCTCGTTCCCTGCGAACGGACTGCGATGCCTTGTCAAGTTCTAAGGTGTCACTATAAGAGCTGTGAACAAGACCGTGTAAAGTGCAAGAGAAGGGGGCACGCTACGCGTCCCTCGACTCTAAGGGGGCACGCTACGCGTCCCTCATCTTTACCTTTCTATGTGACCGCCCACGCAACGTTTGGCTCAAGTCAATGCCCATAGCTAAGTGCTATAAGTGTCTTCTATCCTGAGCAATCAGAGCTATCCCGTTGCACAGACGAACCGCCGCCGGCAGTGAGTGCAAAAGGAACGGCCGCCGGTTCTGCCTGCATAGGATTGCACGCGTGGAAGTGTAAGAGAGACAGGGTCCAGTCTGTGGAGAGTGCAAGCCAGCCACACCTACATTCATTACAGCTCTGGTGGGGAGAGCAGCAACCTAGTCGAGATCAATCCCCCACGCAGGTTATCAGCCGTACGCGGCTCTGCCTTTCTACAGCAACGACTACTTGATCTACTACGACCACAATGAACTCGGGATCAAGCCAAGATACGACAATGACTTTCGGTGCCGATGTGGCAGCGCCAGCCGTTGGTGAGTCAACAGCTGATGACACAGTGGTGCAATCCGTTGATAGCTCCACGGAAGATGACAAAGGTCAATCTTCTGCGCTTGCCATTGCAAAGGCAGTTCCCAAGGTGAAAGCAAAGAGTCTACCAAGAGCATCTACGCCTTCGCGTCCGACATCCACAGGTTCGAGGACGGGCAAGGCTCCCGAACGACGAGCCGAAGCGTCTGGTTTTCAGGCACCTCGGACTACGTCCAGGGCCAAGGACAAAGGAGTGAAGACCTTGGAAAAGAAGTCAAGACCATCATCTTCGAGAAGCTCTTCAGCACGATCGAGGACTTCGGCTACTCGTGGGCGTGACAAATCCATGACTTGGAATCGGATGGTTACCAATCAACCACGTGATGCTGACGATCTGGATATGACTCTGGACACTATCCCAGCACGTGGCGATGCGTCATCGGTGACCACGCCAGCCATAGCCGATGGTCCGAATGCCTATCAGGAACTGACGATTTCGCAACAGCTCGAAGCATCTAACCTTGCGCAGCAGATGTACTATCGCAGTCAGATGCAAGAATACGAAGGAGTTGTTCAGACCCTGATGGACAAGATCAAGGAGATGCAACAAGAAGATGAAGGATCTGGAATTCGCATTGAAGAATTGGAACGACAACGTGACCATGCATGCTTAGCCATGAGGCACATCAACAATGTCAATCAGGAGATGAAGCGAGACTATGAAACAGCTTTGTTTCGCATGGATGAACAGAACTCTGCTCAACAACGTCAAG